TACTGATTCTAAATCGAACAGGCGTTCAGCAAATCTTAAAGAAAGGATGTTATTTGTGTGATTTTCTAGTATATCACAACAATGTCAAGTACAGCCTACTAAATTCCCAATTCGAGGTATTGTTGCGACATGCCAACAGACTCGACAGGCCAGGATAGATCAAATTGCACCACATATTAAGGTGATCGATCACCCCAGGGCAAGATACGCCTTTTAGAGCTGCTTGCCGACTATAGAAATATAGTAGCCTTGCCAGGGGAAACGCTAGGTCAGACAGATTTAACATCCCATCATATAGCCTTAAAGGAGGGAACCAACCCTATTTACGTACCAGCTTATAGACTACCTCATAGCCAGCGCGCTGTAGTACAAAATATGGTACAGGGTATGTTAGATGAGAATGTTATTAGACACTCAAAATCCCCCTTTAATAGCCCGAAAAAGGATGGTGGATGGCGCCCTGTTATAGATTTCAGGCGCGACAATGATCAAACGATCCCTGACAGGTACCCTATGCCTATCTTGAGCGACATATTGCAATCCTTAGGCAAGGATAATGCGGTATTTAGCAACTTATATTTGCTTAGTGGGTATTGGCAAATACCACTCGATGAGAAATCACGGCATTTAGCACGCCTCTAGGCACTTTGAGTTTCTATGAATGCCATTTGGTCTCAGAAATGCCCCACTAACATTTCAAAGAATGATCAACACCCTGTTTGCCGGATTGATTGGTACCACAGTCTGCGCTTATTTGGATGATCTAATAGTAGTCAGTAAGGACATCGATTCCCATCTGATTAAACTGCGTGAAGTGTTGGACAAACTTTCCACAGCAGGCCTCAAAATAAAACTCTCGAAGTGTGAGTTTTTAAAATCCAGAATCCATTTCCTTGACTATGTAGTTGACGGTGAGGGCATACATACAGTTAATGATAAAGTCAAATCTGTATCTCAGTTCCCGCGTCCTACCTCAAATGATCATGTGTGTAGCTTTCTTGGCTTATCTGGATATTATCGTTCCTTTATCAAGAACTATGCAACATTAGCATCGCCCCTAACAAGGTTGCTAAAAAAAGATGCAATGTTTATATGGGACGCTGAACACGAAGATAGTTTTACGGCATTGAAGACAGCGCTTAACAATGCCCCGGTTCTAGCATTCCCAGACTACACTCAACCTTTCACGCTTCCGGAATTGGAGTCGGAGCAGTGCTCATGCAAGAGGATACGCGTAGGAAGTTTAGAGTGATAGCATTTGCAAGTCGCAAACTAATTGATGCTGAAACACGTTATTCGGTGACGCATTTAGAAACGTTAGCCGTTGTGTGGGCACTTAAGAAGCTCAAAGACATTATCTTTGGCTACAAGATAACTGTTTTTACTGATCATACGGCAGTCACCGAGCTGTTCCATGGCAGAAACTTATCAGGCAGATTAGCACGCTGGTATCTGACAATTCAAGAGTTTGACCCCGAATTTAGGTATTTACCTGGAAGGGCGAATGTTGTCGCCGACGCTCTGTCAAGAAATATAGCACCAGTCATGCCTGTATCAACATTCACTCTTTCGCAACTGGAAGATGAGCAACGACGCGACCCATATTGGTCAGCTGTTATTTTTGCTCTCGAATCGGGTGAGGATGTTAAACTCCCCAAGTTAATTCTTCCCTTAAGTCAGTTTGAATTACGACATAACATACTCCATAGAACGAGAAAATCACCTGAGGGTATTGTGTCTCAAATAATCGCACCTGACACGTTGTGCAAAGCAGTAATGACATTGTTCCATGATGTCCCACAGGCAGGTCACCAAGGTCGTGATAAATGCTTAGCGGACTTACGAAAGAAGTACTTCTGGAACACTATGAAGAAAGACATAGAATTACACATAGCTAATTGTTTGGCGTGTGCTCAACATAAAGGTTCAACAGGATCACCAGCCCCGATTCTACAATAACCTACACCAGACCGTCCGTTTGACACAGTCGCTATTGACTTGTTACAACTCCCAATGAGTCATCAGGGATCAGCCTACGTCTTGGTGTGTTTGGATCACTTTTCAAGGTTCGTGGTCTTGGTCCCACTAAAAAGCAAAACGGCCGAAGCAGTAGCCTATGCATTAGTGATGAATCTTATATGTCCATATACTATGCCTAAAGTTCTGCTCTCTGACAATGGCACAGAGTTCAAGAATCAGCTAGTAGCGCATATATGTGCACAATATGGTATTAAACAAACTTTTGTGACAGCTTATCATCCACAGGCTAATGGCCTTGTTGAGAGAACCAATCGTAAAATCCTAGAAATACTGCGTCCAATTGTCAGTGGTTTTCAATACGCATGGGAGGATTGGTTCCCACAGGTTGCAGCGTCTATAAATGGGTCAGTTAATAGCTCTACAGGCAAAACACCCTACTACATTGTCTATGGTACAGATAAACGTCTACCTTACGACATCCTTACAGATGCGCCATACCCGGTTTATAATACGGATGATTTTGCGGCAAAACAAATTCATGTCTACAGATATTCATGCCCAAGTAAGATCACATCTAGCGGCGTCACGCGCCGAAATGATCATCAAACAACATAAACAAGCTAAACCTGTCGCACTAAACGTTGGGGACGCTGTTATGTTAAGAGAACCTGAAAGGAACTCCAAACTTTCGGCAAAATTTTCTGGTCCATTCCGCATAATCTCAAAAGAATCAGGCAACAAATTCAAAATTTGGAAGTCTAATGCACAGATTGCAGATGTCGTGCACGCGGATCGTCTGAAGAAGACCCAGATAAATGTATTACCTCCAGTTGATGATGTGATTGATACATCCTTACAGATTGTCCAGAAGCAGAGTGTCCCAAATGACTAATGTATGAAACTTCATTCTGCAAGTAGACGTTAAATCGTTTGTAATTCCTTACAGAATGGCTTGGATCTTCAGTGTGTTGCTTCTACTCTGTTGTGGCACCGTTGTGTTGACGGACATGTCCACATCAGTCCTCAAACCAGGTGCACTTGTGGCACCTCTCGGACGCGTTCTCATAGTTGAGGACGTGGTGAACATCAAGTATGAACTGCATCCACTACTCCAACTTCCGTGTCAGATGGAAAACGTCGACGGCCAACTACAATCAGCATTGGACATCCTTCATGGTCTCAGCACAGTTTCTAAGAATTCGACAATAGTTTCACAAACTATAGACCTTCTACACTTTCGTCTCCAGAACCTTCGCAAGTTTCTCGTCGATGTTGGGAAAAATCTACCTGCGTCTCAAGCGGATCTTGTTAAAGAAGTGCATTCTCAGGCACAACGAAAAAGGGGTCTCTTTAATTTTGTGGGTCTCATCCAAAGCGCCTTGTTTGGCACGGCAACGGCCGATGATGTAGCTAAATTGGGGGACCGAATGAACGTTGTCGTTCAGGCTGCATCTCAACAGAATCGTGTTATTTCTCAAACCTTTCACGCGATTACTGCTCTAGAATCAAAGGTTAAAGCAATCATAGTGGAGTCTAACCAAGTTTCGAGGATTGTTACTAGGCTACAGAAAGCAATCCCGACATTAGAATGGCTCCTTTATTTCACAGAATATTTGCGTGCTGCGGAAATTTCAGTTCATAAAATTGTAACCTCTAAAAATGAACTAATAGACAGCATTGTAGATGCCGGGATAGGACGTGTGGACGCGAAGCTTGTGCCTGCGCAGACGCTTCTTGAAGCTTTAAAAATAGCCAAGTTGCAGTATCATTTAACTCCTATTTTTAATGACAATGAGGTTCAATATTATTACCAACTGTTGGAGTCAACCCTCACGCACAATGCAATTCTGATCCACATTCCTATGCGAGGGCAACATGAGTTTAATGCATGGCATTTACAACCCTTCCCCTGGTTTGTGAACGACACACTGTATACCCTGGATAGGCCTAAAGAACTTTTCTAGTAGATGAAGAGTATTCTTTGTTATCAATAGAGGATTCTGAGGTACTGTCACGGTGTAAGTCGTCTTATTTACACCTACACGTATGTCCAGCCTACATGTTCGCGTTTATTCCTGCTGCAGAGGGAATATGTGAATTGGCAGTCATACAACCAAATGGACGCACAGCGCTAGCGCAATGCAGTTATAGGCCAGTTAGTCTAAAGACTGTGTTCCACGCCCATCTTCACAATGTGCAGTATTTGTTCTTTCCAAATCTCACTACTGTCATTTTAAAATGCCATGATGGTGTTAAGCAGCTAGTTGTGAAAGGGCATTACAAGGCTCCTGATTACTGTGAAATCACCTGTAGTACATTACGGACCTTGCCTACTCATCAGCATTTTGCTTTAAATATAAAACTGAAGTCTGCTTTAATTCAACTTCCTGTAATGAATTTCACTATTAAGGATATTCAAATAGCATCAGAGAAATTAAAAGTTTTAGCTTTCTTGAACGAGACACATTTTGTTGATTTGAAAAATAACTTGCCATTTTACCTATCCCTCTATTTTGTTAATACAGTACAGTGAAAGTAATAAATAATAAGGAATGGATACAGTGTGACTGAGCACTTACCTTTAATGTAGTCAGCTGAATGCACATGGGGCCCCCATAATTTTCTAATTATACATGGAGACTACATTAGCTGGAAACGTTTCGGTATAGAAAATGCGTGTGTCATTTGAAAAAAAAAGAAAAAAAAAAGAAGAAAAAAAATGGTCACAACTGCAGCGGTCGTAAGTCCCGACGGTCGTAAGTCGGGGTCTAGCTGTGTATATATATATATATAGTCAACCCTAACTTTACGCGGTTAATATAACCCACAGGGTACCGCGGAAAGTGAGAAACGCGTAAAGTGAACAACATAACATATGGGATTAATTGAAATAGAGACCGGGCCGACCCCCAAACTCCACTTTTTGACGACACACAACTATGTTGTAGTAAAAATTTTATCTTAACTTTATGATGGTATGCACACACAAGTAATATAGAAGAGGTTAGGTTAGGAAAAATAAAGGTTAAGTTAGGAAAAATAAAGGTTAGGTTAGGAAAACTAAGTTAGGTTGAACACTTACGTTAGTAGAAGAGATGGGTCGGCGTACGGGGATGGAGGCTGGTTCCGAGGCAGAGGGCAGGCTACTGGCCCTCAGGTGAGTCACCATCACTGTCATCCACACTTGTCAGGGCCTCCCTGACAAATCCCTCAAAGTCATCTTCACTGTCTCTACCTCTGTCACTATCACTGGCTTGGGCTGGCTGTGGTGGGTTGCAGGCGAAGAACTCTGTTATGCTTTGCTGACGGCTGGTGTTTATGTTATCGTGATAAACCTTGAAGTAGGGCTCCATAGTCTGCAACAGCTGGGTAGTGAAGATTTCATACCTGTTTGCGTCATGGTAGTCGGAAAGGAGGAGCTTGATTTTCTCGACACACTCGATGGCACCCCTAACATTACTATGGGATAAGTGGCGTTCTTCTTGGGATGACGCACCACCTGCCTCTTCACTGACGTCATCATCATCTACCATCTCGTCGGTAGTCACACCAGGATCCCTTATCACCTCCAGGATGTCGTCGTTGGTGGTCTCGGAGAAGCCTGCAGCTGTAACACTCTGTGCAGCTTCTCTGGCAAGGTCCACTGCTACTGCAACAGTCTGGACCTCACCAGTCACAGATTGACTCTGCCACCCCCGGAATGCCTTGCAACACATGTCTCCATGCGTGACGAACAGTTGCTACAGACAGCTGATCCCATGCCTCCACCAAGAAGTCCACAGCTTTCTTGATGTTAAATATTCTCCAGAATTGTTTGAAAAGTATTTTTTGCTCTGCCAACTGTTGATCCTCGTCTTCTTCGCTCTTGCTATCGGTGGTGGTGTCACTCAGGTTACGCAACTCTTCCCTGGTGTTGGTGTAGTCGTTCAGGAGCTTCAATTTTTTTGTTGAGAATGCAGCTTTTACATTACAGATTAACTCTTGGTCCATGGGATGTAATATAGACGTAGTGTTGGGAGGAAGGAAGACCACTTTTACGTTGGGGTGACGATCTAACAGTAGGGGCGAGTGTCCTGGTGCGTTGTCCAGCAGCAACAAAATCTTGAATGGCACATTCTGTTGCTCACAGAATTTCTTTACATCGGGAATGAAACAGTCATCAAACCAGGAGAGGGACAGTGTAGAGAACATCCACGCCTTACGTGCGGTCAGCCAGTGGACATTTAGCTTGGTCATGTCCATGTTCTTGTAGGCGTGCGGCTTGCGGGCTGTGTGGATCACCGATAACTTGAGCTTACAGGTACCGGAGGCATTGGTGGTAAACAGGACGGTGATGCGCTCCTTCTGCATCTTCCGGCCCAGAATCTTGCTGGCATTCTTCACAACGAAAGTCTTGGAAGGTAGCTTTTTCCAAAAATGACCAGATTCGTCCATGTTAAACACCTGGTCGTCGGTGTACTGTTCCTCCATAATCTCACGTAAAAACGGAGGAAATTCCCTAGCCGCAGCACGGTCAGCACTGGCTTCTTCACCACCAATGTTTATATTGGTGATCTTGTTCCGCATCTTAAACCTCTGTAACCACCCAGAGGAAGCATTAAAGGGTTTGGGCTATGTAATTCCCATCTTTCGTGACACTGCAGCATACAGTTCACGTGCGTACTCCTTAACAGAGCGCGTGTCGACCGCCATGTTCCGTCGCGCCTGACGCACCAAGTAGCTCACAAGTAATTTTTCTGTCTTGAGAAGCACCTGGTTGTGAAAATACTTGATCATAGAAGCACCTGTAGACTTTGTGATCTTCATGTGCTCCTTTATCTTGGCTGCATCCTTCTTTATCGTCCGGATCGTAGATTCGTTCACACCATGCTGGCGCACCAAATTAACCTGTCTTGTGCCTTTCTCTAACTCTTGGATGATCTTGTACTTCACCTCGTAGCTTAAGGAACGTCGTGTCTTCTTGGGCTTAGGGCGGCTGGGTCCATGCAAGGAAAGGTTTCTCTCTGCGGGTGGTGGTGGTCCGGTGGAAGCCATTTTACAGAACAATGGATGCACGATTACACGGTGTGGCCTGGAGGGATGAAACTGCCGCGGCTAGGTCAAGCGTCGTCTTTCCTCCCTCCCTCCCCCGGGTGGACACGTCATATTACCTTAAACCAATTACAGCTAGCAGCGGAGGGAGGTAGGGATGCATGGCCAATCACAGTCCGATACATCATATGACGTCAGTGATAACGCAACAGAGACATGCACTGCGCAACCTTACCGCGCGGCTTGGCCAGGCGGAGGCAGAGGAGGGCGGAGGACGGAGGAGGCGGGAGCAGGCGGGTGGGGCGAATCTAAAAATAGCGTTGAGCCGGACACTCTCCGCGTAAAGGGATACACGCACCGCGGAATATGAGCTTATATTTTCTAAGTCAATATTCTTTTCTTTACTTCATTTCTTCTTTCATATCTATTTTTGTATTTTCTGAATTTCATGTCATTAATTTCTCTCAATTATATCCATGGTTTAGTTATACCTGTACCTGTATTCTATACCATGGATCATGGGAAAACCATGTCATTCGAACTATAACACTTATTGTACTTACCACGGTAGCCTGCCACCACCAAGACTTTCTTAGAATATAACATATCTCAATGAACTGTTAGGTAGTGTGCTAGTGAGCTTCTAGGCACATGAGTTACAATAGTTATTTTCTGAGAACCAACAGGTAGAAGGAATAAGTGGTGATACTCGTAGTTTACTAATTCAATATTTATTAACATGAGTGAACAAGACGTTAATTAAGTACACTCAGACCAGACTGGACCACTTAGGTCTTACTTTACCATTCATAAAATAGATCTTCAATTACTGATTACATCATTAAACAACTGTTGTATTATTTCTTTGACAAATAAGATGGTTATTTTACACGCTCAGATAGGACTGGACCCGTAGGTCCGTCCTACTTTTACAAGTAGTAAAATAAATCTTCAGTTCTTGGTTAGAACATTAAACAATGATTATATTATTTCATTGTCAATACAGACGGTTCTATGACACACTTGACAAAATCCCAAATTAACTTATTTACTGGTATAGTACTATCAATATTTATGGGTTCACTACTCAACATAGGATAACTATACTTCTGTTAATTATCCCTAATCATATACAACAATAACACTTTGGCCCATATAACTGTAAGGAGGGCCCCAGGGTGTAACACTGGTGTCACCACAACAAACGAAGAGCGTTGTTAGGGTCGCTTGGAGTCCGGCACACGGTGAGGGAGTTCGGGCATAGTTCCCAGGGTACGGACTCGCACAATTTAATCGTGCCCAATTAACGACATCCTGCAAAGCAGCCAGCTGGTGTACAGCTACCGGTCCCCTGGTGACTGTTGGGTATTCAGCTAACACACACACTGTGCCCGAGATAATGATGGAGCAGCGTCAGAGATGTGACAAAAATAACTCAATCACCAACTATCTTTTGTCTAGCAACGGCAGACGATATTTACGTTACATTAATTCTTTCACTGGGTAAAAATAATTTCACTGTTACAACATGAACACTGATATTCACAAAATTCACTTAGTTAAACTGACTTAATCTGGCGGGCATGGGAACATACACATACTCGAGATAATGATGGACCAGCGTCAGAGATGCGACGCTACTCCTTGGGCACGAATTTATATACGACTTTCTGGCATGGGTAACGCACAAGCCTGAGTTGCCAGTTAACTCCTTTATTTTCATGACATAATTATAATCTTACCAGTCTTTATTCTTAGGAAAGCGGTAGAATTTTAAATGTCTGTGGCTTTTCTTGTCCTTCCCACAAACAACACAACCATGACAACCACGCGGAGCCATTTCCTGTTACTTTGGTTTTGTCACACTGAACAAATCTTGAATTTCCAGCCAGATGACGTCATATAACAAAACAGTCTTTATGCAGACGACATTCACGCAACGGTGGCGCTATCTATCGGTGACCGACCCAACTACTAAGTGTCCAGTGAGTAATTTGATGCTATTTTTTGGCGGCACACAGCTGTATGGGGTGTCGAGCTTCCTTACTCTACCTTCCCAAATATCTTTTTGTTGTCTGAAAATTTGACAATGTGGCTCTATATATTTACATCTATTGGTATGTTGTTTATGTAGATAACAAACACAGTGGGTCCAAGGACTCAAAATACTAGGATATTCAGAAATAACAACCAAAATGAAAATGCTTATTTTATTAAATAATTAATCTTAAACAAAGGTAAGCAATTCCAAATACTCATCTTTGTTCAAAATTTAGGTTCAACAGGTGAAGTTTGGAATGAATTAAAGATGAGAGATATTATAAAAAAAATTATGCAGTTAATACTATCATATTAACAAAAGCAATTTATGCATATGAAAATTAACTTCAATTAATCAGTGATCTATAATTTCAATTACTGTATAGTACATACTTCTAATTGAATTTGCACTTAGAGAAGTCCATTTCTGGATGCTGCTCCATGAACCTGGAAAAAAAGTCAACTTAGAAACTTGCCCAATTTACACAAATATTTTAGCCATTACTAACACTCTAGTGCTACTGATTTAGTTGAATTATGAATGCTTGTTGCTAAATTGCTTTGACTGCTATTACTAAAATATACAAAAATCTTCATACAATAAAGTATGCACAGCATACAGTAGTACAGTATTTATCAACTTTATTCCTTTAATAAAAACATTAAATCTCTTTAAAAAAAAGAAGAGTAAGTTGTGTATCAAAATCATATTTTGGAGATGCATGGATGAGCTGCTGGAAAATGTCATATGTGAGTCATATTCAAACAGGTAATTGTCACTACATAAACAATTTATAATTATATGCTGGTGAGTATGACCAGCACTGTAAAGGAATGCCACCATAGTTTTATACTGTACCTAGATGCTCTTGCTTGACACAATTATACCTGGGTACTTAAGGTGCTGGATGTGTGGACAAAGAAGCCCCATTTTTTATATTATTGTTTTTCAGATCCCTATCTAGGTACACGTAATAGCAATGACATAAGATATACTGTACAGTATACTGTATAAGGTCATGTATGTCTTATGTCATCATTATTAAGTGTCACTAAACAGGGGCATATACTGTATATCTATATTCCTGCATAATATCCTGTTGTATGTGCCTTTCTTTAAATGATCTAAGTTGTTTCGTGGGAATATTGTCATTACGTGTAAGTTTATCCTTCATTTGGCCAAAAACAGGATTGGTGAATACAATTGGTTACGGGAAATTAGTTGTTTGATTGGGTACTCAGAAAAAGTAGCACCTGAAAAAATAAACATACAGGTATCCGTCGTTTAGTGATAATTCAGTTTAGCGATTTAAAATTTTTAACACCCTTCGTTGTTTAACAACCTGCACTCTTCGGTTTAGCAATCTTGGAATCACTGGGAAACATTTGGGCGGGAAGTAGGAAAAACTGGGGATTCTGTGCTCCAAGTGCACATCATTACAATATTGTAATGTGGTTTAGAAATAAAGAAAATACTATACAGGTGCTCCTCGACTTATGACCTACTCGACATACGACCACCCGGACATACGACCGCCGCAGTCGTACAAATTTTTTTTCAAATTCCATATGCATTTTCAATGAACGAAACGTTTCCGTCCCGTTCGACAACGTGGCGTGGGCTGGGCCATCTCGTGGTGTACAGCATCCACGCTGTAGCGAGCTCAGTTGGTGTTTGGCCGTCGTTGTTGTCGGTAGTGATCGCGCTGTGTACTGACAATATTTTCGTTTCTAATTCCCTTTAAAATGACTGGCAAGCGTAAAAGTGAGAGTTCTGGTGGTGCTCAGAAGAAAAAGAGACAGTCAATTACTTTTGAGATGAAAATGAAGATGATAATGCAATATGGAAATGGAAAAATGGTAACAACCATTTCACGCGACCTAGGCTTCTCTCACTCGACGATATCAACAATTTTGAAGGACAAGGAACGAATTCGTGAGGTAGTGAAAGGATCAGCAGCAACTATAAAGGGAACAATAATAACGAAAAAAAGACAAGGTCCTCTTCATGAGATGGAGAAATTACTTGTGATGTGGATGGAAGATCAGCTGCAAAAGCATGTACCCTTAAGCTTTCTAACCATACAAGCTAAGGCAAGAACCCTTTTCGAAAGCCTGAAAGAGCAGACAGAAGATGAGGCGACCAAAACTTCGCAGCAAGTCATGGGTGGTTCCAAATGTTTAAGAACCGCTATAGTTTGCACAGTGTAAAGGTGAGTGGAGAGGCAGCAAGTGCTGATGTGGAAGCTGCCGAAGCTTTTAAGGAGGAGCTAGATCGTGTCATAATGGAGGGAAATTATTTGCCTGAGCAAATATTTAATGTGGATGAAACTGGCTTATTCTGGAAACACATGTCAGAATGGGCATACAGTACATCCACAAAGAGGAGAAAACCATGCCAGGATTCAAGGACCGAATCACACTTCTGTTGGGGGGAAATGTAGCTGGTTTCAAGGTATAACCCTTCATGATAATTATATCATTCAGAGAACCCAAGGGCTTTTAAAAATGTCAGCAAGCACACACTGCCAGTGTTTTATCGCAGTAATAAGAAAGCATGGATGACCCTAGCTCTGTTTGAGGATTGGTTCCTGCATTGTTTCATTCCATGAGCCAAGGAGTATTGTCTGCTACAAGGGATTGCATTCAAGATTTAATTAATTTTAGATAATGCTCCAGGACACCGACCTCACCTGGACGACCTGCACCCTGATGTTAAGGTAGTCGACATTCCACCTAACACTACCTCTATCATCCAACCCATGGATCAAGGTGCTATTGCTGCTTTTAAAGAATACTATTTACATACGACCTTCGCTCAGGCTGTTGCTGCTACAGAAGGTGAGAAAATGCTCAGAGAGTTTTTGAAGGACTACAACATTTTGAAATGTATAAAAAACATAGCTGCAGCATGGGATGAGGTTACAGGTCAGTGCACGAATGGAATATGGAAGAAAGTCCTGAAAAGATATGTGAACAGTTTCAAAGGATTTAATGAAGATGAAACAATTTCTGAGATTAGTAACAAGATAGTGGAGTTGGGTAAACAGCTGGAGTTAGAAATTGATAATGAATATGTTGAGCAGTTGGTTGAAAGTGTAGCAGAAGAGCTGAGTAACGAGGATCTTATTGAACTGGATGCACAGAAAATTGCAGAGGAAGAAGAGACAAAATGTAGAAGAACCTGCACCCCCTAAAAAAATTTCAGTGAAACAAATGGCAGAGGCATTTGCTACTATTAATAAGGGGATGCAAATGTTTGAAGAAATGGATCAAAATGTTAAGCATTTTGCAAAAGTTAACAGAATGATCCAAGAAGCACTTGCTTGCTACAGGGAGATTTACAATGACAAGAAAAGGCAAACTGAGCAGTCTAAATTGGACATATATTTTAAGAAGTCCCCCACTGCTATCTCCTTACGCCCCACCACTGCTGCCTCTTTACCCTCTAAAGATGATCCAATGCCTTCAACAAGCAAATATGTTAGCCTATCTGAAGACAGCGAAATTGATGACCCACCCAGCCCTGTCTCCTCTGCTTCATCCAATTAATGTAGACTCCATGTTTAATTAAAAAATTATTGAGGCCCTGTGTGCATTCAGCTGAGTACATTAAAGGTAAGTACACAGTAACACTTTATTCATTTTTCATTATTGATTACTTTTACTGTACCTTATTTCATTTTAGATTTTCTATGTATTATTTTCGCATTTTCGACTTACGACCTGGTCGTCGGTCCCTAACCCTGTCGTAAGTCGAGGACTGACTATACTGTACTGTATAGAGTACATTATTTTATAATTTTACAGTATTGTATAGAGTAAAATAAAACTATAAAATGAATAGCATGGGTGTGTATGTGTGGGAAGTGAAGGTCTATATTGAGGCAGTGACTGTGGCCAGCTGCACCCCCCCCCCCATTTCACCCATAAAATTTTAGTTCTCTTGGTGTAATTCAAGATTATTTTCTTTAAATCAACACTGCACTGCATTATATATTGTCAATATGTAAAATAAACTTCAAAATGACCAATAATTTGCTTGTAAACACAGAAAAAAAGCGTTTAGTTGAAGAGTCTCAAGCAAGATGTTACCTCCACTGAAAAGACACAAAGACTGACGCCTGTATGCTGTGTTGGCAGGCTGGATGGCGTGCCACAAACTAGTGACCCTACCTTCAATTATGTTCAATAATTGTTAAAATGACTAAAAAATTTAATATTAAACTTTTAAAATTGTGGAATAGTATAAACTTCTTGATATTTACTAAAAGGGTAAGGAATTTAAGCCCTAGAACCGATTACTGTATTGGCGGACTAATACTACAGCTGGTGGACAGCCAAATGCAAGCTAAAACATGTGGAGGTCGGCTCGTAAGAAACTCGTTAATCGAGGGATTGCTCGTAAACCGAAGTTAAGAATCTTATGGAAGGTAACTCGTTAACCGAAATCTCGTTAACCGACGGACCACTGTATATAATATAAAATCATATTTTGCGCATGGAGGCTGCTGGGCTAGTGAGTGATGACGCCGCATCACTAACATAAACTGTCGCTACTTAGCGGGCATTTTGTTTACATGTATCTGAACAGGAACAGGAGAAAAACTTTCTCAGGTATCTTACAAGCAAGAGAGCAAGTGATGGTAGTGATGGTTCTGAAGCTAAAAGACAGTGTACTGTATAAGCTTAGCTTATACAGGCAAAAGGTGTGTGGATATTTTACGCGATCTGAGGATGGTGGAATCAACAATGAAAACTATCCGTAAGAAGCAATGAACTTATTTTCGGAAATGGATCCATTAACAGAATGAAGCATTAAAATTAACAGGTGAGTGAAAAACACATATGACCCCTACACACAGATTTATGACGAGAAAAAGAAAGCACCTGTGCAAGGTCCTTTAGACAGTTTTATTATTCCAAGGCCTAAACCAGTGGTTCCTAAACATGGGGTAGCAAGATGCATCATAAGGGGTCACACAGAGGTCATGGGGTCGATGGGGTCACCTGGGTCTTGCAGTGGTCACATGTGATTTTTTTTCTTTTTAATCCAAGTGTCAAGGACTGAAGGAAATGGTCGACAGAAGCTGTCTCATTAAGGCAGGATCATAAATTATGGTAATGCAGTTACTCTCCTTGTCCTGTGACACGTTTCACAACAGAAATTCCACACTCCTATATACTGCACTTTTAACTTTTCTCAGCTAGGTTCACTCAACTTCCCACAGATGCAAAAAAAAAAATGGCAGCAAATTTTAATGAGTGGCTTACTGAGTCTTTTGCACTCGAAATGTCAGAATTACAGGCTGACAACGAGGCAGGGGTGAACTTTGATGTCTATGATAACATAGCAAAGTTTGGGATTACTTTATCAGAGACATTCAGCTGTTTAAAATCGAACTATCAACATTCTGGTATAAAAAAATGATTACCGTAACTGTATATCATCAAACTTCTACTTAAAAAATTGTGTGCTATTTTGCTTAACCTCATATACCCAAGGTGTAGAAAATTAATCAAATGATGATGTACACATGTCATATGAAATATGACACAGTTGTAGTACATGATGTTTTACCACATAATTATACCCCCAGTTAACAGAAAATTTATTAAATGGTAATGCACACATGTCACATATGAATTATGACAGAGTTGTAACTGAGAGAACAGTAAGTTATGTTGCTTAACCATATAATTATACGCCCATGTAACGAACACAAAATGGCAATATAATCATAACAGAGTTGTAACCTGTTTCTACCAGTGTTTACTTTTACACTTCTCAATTATGTAAAATATTTTCTTTATCCGTTTTTAATGTTAAATACGAGTAAATATATGTCCATATATATTCTATGAATTTTTATATTTAATGTAATGACTCGGGATCGCACTGGATAGGTGGCAGCACTAGATGGGTAGCACAGGAAAATGCTTGGGAACTCCTGGCCTAAACCACGAACTTCAACTACACCATCGAATTCAGCATCAGCAACAGCTCCAGCAACAGCTATGGTATCATCTTTAGGGAAACCTACAGTTTTAGCCAGAGTTCAGATGGAGAACCTGGTGATTTAGGAACTTCGTCTTCATCTGGGTAAAAACTTAGAAAACAACACTGGCTGTGTTCCTATATTTTTGGCTTTACCACCATTGGTGAGTAGAAATTTTGTTTAACATTCATAAGCATTAATTAAAACATATATGAACAGTGTTGTTTTCATATTTTTATGTAGAGAAATGATGCTATGTTTTCACATGTGCGTACTTACATACACTGTCCTTGCATTATCCATCTCATTTTTTATCATCGGTGGTTACTTTTATTGTTCCATTTACATTAAATAAAACATACAATTCTTTCTTTTTTTATTAATTTTACTACAGCTACAACTAAAGTCTTATTTCCTTCAGTTTCATATGGAGAATCATCGTCATAAGAACATAAGAAATTAAGGAGTCTGCAATAGACAGGTTGGCCTGTGCATGGCAGCTCCTGTCGAGAGTTACTACCACCAGGGCTGTCGGAATTTCCGAATCTTGTTTACCTAACACGCTGATTGGTTCAACTGCTCGCGTTGTGATTGGTTGCGAGTCCATGATGTAATTACTATTTTCTATAATATAATGTCTGGTGGGGGATAACGAAAAAAGATCCCAGATACAGTAATTATATTAGAGTAGTCCTCATACTCGATGAATTTCATTGTTCCTGTCATTAGTTTTATAAATTTCTGAATAATAAACACTGCATTATACACCATTCAGAGTATTATATGAGATCACATCAGAACAGACCGTTGGCTTCCTTGTCTCGACTCTCAATATTGCTTCGTATGTGACTCAGCAGAATATAATTCTGCTAAAATATCGCTCGTAAAATGTAGGCAAGGTAATTACATACATCTAAAATTTATTTATGTGTATTCTATATGGTATTTTAGCCATGAAAAAGCATATTTCCTTAAGTCGGTAATTTACCGACTGTCGGAGCAGTGACGTCACGGCTTACAGACTACGTCATCAATTTACCGATTAGCAGACGAAGTACAGGATTTGAACCAATCAGCATGTTCGATAAACAAGAGTCGGAAATTCCGACAGCCCTAACTACCACTCTCTATCATCCATGAATCTATCTAGCCTCTTTTTAAAACTTTCCAGCATTCCAGCACTTACTACAAAGTTGCTAAGCTTGCTCCACTCGTCCACCACCTAAACTTATCCAAATTAAATCCGTTGCTACAAGTCCTATCCTGCTCGGATATTATAAGAACTTTATCTATATCGCCTTTATTGATTCCTTTCACCCACTTAAATACTTCTATCATATCTCCCCACACTCTTTGTCTTTCTAGGGAATGCAAGTTTAGTTTCTTTAACCTATCATGATATGGAAGGTTTCTTAGTCCCGGAATCATTTTCGTCATTCTTTGTTGCACCGACTCCAGTGAATTGATATCCATTCTATAATAAGGTCACCAGAACTGAATCGCATAATCGAGGTGCGGCCTGATTAGCGCAAGATATAGTTGCAATAAGACCTCTACACTCTTATTACTTACACTTCTAGATATAAAACCTAATACTTGTACTCCGTTTGAATTATTTCGAACATTAATGCACTGTTTTTTAGGCCGTAGCGTAGGTCCAGGCTTACAAGTACCCCTGTCTCTTTCACAAGTCGACTTCTCTAGGTTGATGTTGTTAAGGCTGTATACATTGACAGTATTTGGGTGTAAACACCAACGAAAACAACGCCGTCCCGTCTCCTCTTGTGTTTCAATATTCTACATATAATTATTGAATTGTATTGTTCATTTTGCATACATAAATAATAATTCAATCAAACAGACATTCAATATTAAACAATTATGAATCTTTTGTACATATTCTTAATAAGAGAAATGACTCTGTTTCCATGAGTGAGCACATACAGTTCTGAATGAAAGTTCTTAATACAGTCAAGGTGGAGGGTGCAAAGGCAGCTGCACCCTTACGGGAGGGCAAGTCGTTGTCAGTGATGCCACTCGCGAAAAACCAATATTTACCAGATTCGTGTCTGAATCTTTCTACATCACCAAACAAAATTTTGAGGTACTGTATGACAAAATTATACCCAATTACAATTACCTGTAGTTTAATTTTTATCAAAACACTTCTACAAACTGTCAAAAATATATAAGTACTGTACAATGGTCCCTCGGTTAACGAGAGCAATTCGTTCTAGAAGGTTGCTCGTTAACCGAAACCATCATTTCAATGTGTTTTTGGGTAATTGGTTCCAGCTCACCGAAAATTGCCTAAAGTAAAAAAAAAATGTAGTAAAGTACACTTACTTTGAGGTGTGTATGTAGAAGGCTCCTAGATGATGATGATGATGGGAATTAGAATGGGGGTGGAGGAGAAGGGAGAAGAGAAGGAAGTGGAGGTGGAAGGGAAGTCACCCCATGGTGCTATATTTCACCCATAAAATTTTAGTTCACTTGGTATAATTCAAGATTATTTTCTTTAAATCAACACTGCACTGCATTATATATTGTCAATATGTAAAATAAATTTCAAAATGACCAATAATTTGACTGGAAACACAGAAAAAAAGCGTTTATGTTGAAGAGAGTCTGAAGCAAGATGTTACCTCCACTGAAAAGACACAGAGACTGACGCCTGTATGATGTGTTAACAGGCTGTTTGGCGCGCTAAAAACTAGTTTCTCTGTACTTAAATTATGTTAAGTAATTGTTAAAATGACAAAAAATTTTAATATAAGACTTTTAAAATTATTGAATAGTACAAACTTCTTGATATTTACTAAAATAGTAAGGAATTTAAGCCCTAGAACCGATTACTGTATTGGCGGACTAATATGACAGCTAGTGTGTAAGCAAAAGCATGTTGAGGGGCACTCGTAAGGAATTCGTTAATCGAGGGAAAGCTCGTTAACCGAAGTTAAGAATCTTATAGAAGGTAATTCGCTCAACCGAAATTTCGTTAACTGAGGCGCTCTTTAACAAAGGGATCACTGTACTGTATACACAAAAATAATTGATAGTCAAATGAAAATAGATGCGGTATTCTGTATTACAAAAGAAAACAAATTCTATTCATTGGACACTTTGAGACAAGACTAAACTAAAGTTTTTTAAGTAAATCAAAACAAACATTTTACTTAATATTGTATCTAAACAAGTAGATCTATTGTAATTTAGTGATAGTTAAGCATAGTGTACTAAGTAATAATTTTCATTGTTGCTTTACAGTGCAGCAAGTAAAACAATATATATATATTTCATGTAGATCCACAATGAAAACGTGGATAAGATAAATCTTGATAAAATCACACGGGAAAAGGGAAACAATAGAGCACCTTAGCTTCGTCTTTATTCAAGACATCTTCAGAGGCAACTGAAGATGTCTTGAATAAAGACGAAAGCTAAGGTGCTCCGTTGTTTCCCGTTTCCCGTGTGATTTTATCAATATATATATATATATATATATATATATATATATATATATATATATATATATATATATATATATATATATATAAATTTTTTCAAAACAAAAGAAGGAAGATTCAAGTCGTTAAGAGGTGCAAAATAGGTGAATCATGGAATCAGGGGTTCCAAAATTACTTACCAAATTACATAACATACTAAGTGCCAAAAGAAAACTACTAAACATGCCTCAAGATGATAAGAAAAGTGTTTGTTAATGACAGTTTACATGATGAGTAAAGAACACTGAGGTAATGGCTGTTGATCTATGGATTGCTATCAAATAACTTACTTCTTAAGAACATCTTGCTTCTTCTGCTCATCGGAGGTAGGTAGTCCCATCTCTTTTTGCCGCTGATCATACATCATCTTCTCCACCATTCCTCGTGTTTCTCCATCCAGGTCTCCTAATTTTGAGGGTTCTGGGTTAACCTTTTCAGTGTTGATTTCGGGGTCAGAAGTAACCAAACGAGACCACCATTCCATCTTGTTGATCTAAAAGAACAAAACCAAGATTCACATTCATGTAATTTTGAAGAGATTTATGAAGCAGCAATTTAAGTTAAACTGCAGAAAAATAATTTATCAGTATAGTTTGTCATAACATCTTCCTTGTTTTCTATGATCTTATGTCTCAGGTTATAGAAAACATCAGTTAAGGGGTAACCTTTACAATATTCTACTGAACTCGTGTTAGTATATTTAGTTTACTGTAAAAGTTTAAATCTGAAATAATATATATATATATATATATATATATATATATATATATATATATATATATATATATATATATATATATATATATATATATATATATATATATATATATATATATATGTGTGTTGTGTGTGTGTGTGTGTGTGTAAATCCAGTGATCCATGCTGATAAGAAAGAAGAAAACACGAAAAACTTGTGTTTCTCTTTCCTTGTGAAGTATATATATATATATATATATATATATATATATATATATATATATATATATATATATATATATATATATATATATATATATATATATATATATATATATATATATATATATATATATATATATATATATATATAAAGCGACGAGTAAAAAAGGTCATAGTGTGACAATGCCAAAGAATACATATTGTGACAATCATACCAATTACAGACTAGCTACAGCGAAGTACGGCAGTGTTACAGACAATGATTTAATTAAATTAAATTATGTAAAAAAAGGGGTTATCAATCATTCATGAAAAGAGGCAGTTACCAAGAATTTACCTTCTCTAGGGATAAGACGAGGGTGGTGCCGTTCTCCAGGTACCAACTGCACTCCTCGACCTTGACCTGGTTGTAGAGGTCACCCTGGAGGATGGGAGTGGCGTTCCTTAACCCAGCCTTGATCGTGCGGCGACCCCACTCCACCACCACGTCCCGAGACTTGACACGAGCCCCCAGCGGGATCCACACCTGTACACAAGAATGAGGGTGAGAAAATACAACTGAAACTGAATTATGAGGGTGAGGCACTACACAGCTGAAACAACCACGAGTGACACACACATCTGCAACAACCACGAGTGACACACACACATCTGTAACAACCACGAATGACACACATCTGTAACAACCACGAGTGACACACACATCTGCAACAACCACGAGTGACACACACATCTGCAACAACCACGAGTGACACACACCTCTGCAACACAATCAAGAGGTACACACTGCACACCTGTAACACACTCATCTTAGAATCTATGGCCTGTCAACAAGAATTAATTAGGCAGAGAGTTTCGAGCACGCTCACAGTAGTGACTCCCTCATGATGTTACCAGACACCAGACACTTGGCCCTCTCTACTGTGGCACTGTGGGGTATGTCGTAGTCTTGCTAGCCTATTCGCCAACAACCCCAAAGATACTCTATCTACAGTCCTGAAGGACCTCGCACTGCAGCACAGGGCGGAGAGGGGCGGCGGAAAAACAAACTAATAATATTGGAATTTGAAGATGTGGCTAGTACAGTATATAGCTTGATATTCGTTACCCTCTTTGTAATTGTTTTTTGTTTTGTTTTATTGGATATTTGCAGAAATGCGATTAATGAACAATGAAAAGCAATGATAATTTTATATAAACTTTTATTACATTAATGTTTTTACGGTTAATATTACGAAATTTACAAGAGACTTGTGTTTTGTTTTACTGTCAAGCACAAGCTCGTTCAGCTGCTGGTGTTATCTTATCTTATAAACGCTGGCACTAACCAGGTAAGCACATTTAAGGTAGTTTATTCATTTTTTAGCAGTTTTGAGTTCTCGCCTGGAAAACATATACATTATAAATTGCGATTTTCTGGGATAAAAATTTTAAAATGGATAGAGCCATATTTCACTCTTGACATCGTTACTAAACTTTATGCAACATATATTAATAAAGTAGGCACATTTAATATAAATAATTAAACCTTTTAGCAGTTTTGTGAGTATGTTTTCGTCTGGAAAATATCAACTTTTTCTCCTCGCCAATTAATGGTAAAAACTCGTCCGTGTAGTCTTGAATTTGGTGCCAGCGTTTGTAAACAAACGCATCTCCGGCATACCAACCACACGAGTAAAACGACCCAGAATGCACCAGAGAGGGTGAACAGGATTACCAACGCTACCCCCGACGATCCCGCAAGGAGAGGAAATGGAACGAGTGAGTAAAGGCATTTATTGTAAGGCATTTTATATGCACGGAATAGCTACCGCATTAGCTATTCTGTCTGTGTAGACGCTTCCGCTGAGTTCTGCGCATGACACCTTGAGAGGGTAAAACAAACACCTTTATCAGGCGTTTGTGTGTGAGGCGCCTGAATAGCTAACGACCAATCAGCGAGTTTATCTTATTAAACAGTGGATAAATACGCGGATCATGGCCGCTTATGGAGAATATTTTGATTAATATTGAAGAGTTGGGGGCATGTTAGGCAATAAAAAAAGCTGACATAATAATACAAATAATTCTATATACAGTACTATATTGGATAGGACATAATACAAATAATTCTATATACAGTACTATATTGGATAGGACCTAATACAAAGTGAATGGTGTGAAAGAATTGAAAAGGATTGCGCCTAGTTGAAACCTGTTTTGGCTCCGCCCATTTTTAAGTGGGCGCTGTCCGATTTCATTAGCCGTTGGTGACTTTGGTGTAACAATATTGATAATTACTTTAATATGATTGAAACCTCAATATCAATACTCATAAGATACTTTAAATAAGGGTGAACAAGTTGATTACAGTTCTGTAAGTGCAAAAATTAAGACTTGAATGAACCTGAAATTCGTCGTATTTCGTGTATAAATATGCGAACACCTAGCCACGAGAGACAGCATGTAGTGTAGTTCCGAGTCCGGAAGAAATATCCTTTACAGTGGGCCCGATTTTTTGTGTTATTCTTATTTATTGTTGACTGATTGACTTTTTTTCCTTTTTTGTCTGTCTTTCCATCAATTTCTACACATTTTCTTTACTATTTCTTTCCGCATTGTGTCCAAATAACGGTTCTCCTAATTTTATTGTTTTCTGAAGACTGTGTTGTACAACAGTTACTCCCAAGACGCGGTACAATGTCGTATTTTTTAATGACAGTCCGGGAAAGCTAAAGTGTAAGCTATTCCGTGCATCTACAATAAACGCCTTTAAACTACCGCTTGAAGAAACAAGACCCGCGGGTGCTCCGTGGAAGAGGGAAGAAGGGCGATTAAAACACTGGGCGTAAGCCTCTTTAACTGCCGTCGTCATTGTACCCACTACCACCACTATCACTACCACTACTACCACTACTATCATCACTACCACTACAACCATCACTATCACTACAACCATCACTACCAATAAAACCACCCCTACAACCATCACTACCACTGCAGTATATATTAGGTGCCACTAAGAGAACTCGATTGGCTCAACCATGTCAATATTGTTATTATTATCCACTATGTATCTATATTTTTCTTGCTAAAAAACTATTTCAATATCAATACTACTACTACCACCATTAACAATACTACCACTACTATAACTACCTCTACCATCTCTACCACTACCAATACTACAACCACCACCACACCACACTTGTCAACAGTATTTATAAAAAAAAAATTATATATATATATATATATATATATATATATATATATATATATATATATATATATATATTCCCAAGATGAAAATAATATAGACATCTCCGGACTCATAACCATAAGTAACGCGACGTGTCCGGACCTAAGTCACACATACCTTACTTTCCTCACGCCGCACGTACACCTAACTCGGGTAAATAGATTCTGGAGGTATTTACACACCCGTTCCACACCTGGCCCTAAAGCTAGAACATCTGACAATAGTATACTACAATAATATAATACGAGGTCCGGCGAGAATGGGACGAGACCAAAGATATATAAACCAATAGGGAGGGGAGGGGCGGGGGTTTGCAACACCTCGACATGAACCTTGGCTGGAGGCGCGCGCTGGGTGATACAGTAACTGGCCTCTCCCCCCCAAACAAAGGATCACCTAATCAACAAAGACGACCTTAAGAAAGAGAAACTTTAGGTGGTTCCAGTACCTCATTTCACTCACTTCACCCCCCCCCCCCCACACACACCTATAACCTACCCACCAACTAAGGTACACTTCATCTAATTAAAAGAGGGGGGGGGGCGACTATCCTACGAATGCTCTATAAATTACTCCCCTTCATCCTATCCCACGTGCTACTGAGTGGTCGAAAAGTCCCTGTGCACCTGCAATAACGACCAACATAGATGGTCCTTGTTTTACTTAGAGTATAATATATTACAGGTGTATAGGAACTTATCGATCACCCAGTAGCACGTGGGATAGGATGAAGGGGAGTAATTTATAGAGGATTTATGTGATAGTCTGGCAACATATACAAGTCAACAAGAATTCTGCTCAAGGGCTGGGTGGCACCACAAACCTACGCTAATACTGACAGCTGGAATGCGAGCTTTGCAATGGAGGAACACCCTGAAGAGACCAGCGAATAAGAGGGATGGTGTAAGAACTGGAGGTGGAATTCTTATTGCTGGGTTAAGGAGAGACACAGTGACATGAAGGCTGTTTGTTGTGGCTTAAGGTAGTTTGGGTACTCCACCGCCTCTATAGAGTCTTTGGGGATCCTTTACTATTTCTTCCGTTTGTGTGATGGTGTATTCAGAAGTGGTAAGGAATAAGGACACCTGGTCAAAATAGGAGAAGGTGAAGAGGGAAGGAGAATAAATCGGTTAACAGAAAACATGGGAACGAAGCACCGTAGGAGTCTGTACCACGCACTACACACAAGTTGACCCTTGTAACGTTAGCTGAACCGTCATGTACAACACTCCTCACACGATGGCAGTCAGAGCACACACACACACATACAGTATATACACATCCACAGAGAGAGAGAGAGAATGAATTTTCACAAACAGATGGTGGTCGACATAGCTTACTCACAATTACCACACAGGTTACCCACCCCTTCATCACTACACACACACACACCTGTCACTTAATTACTGCAGTATGTGTCGTGCGAAAGTTTTACTCAGTTCTGTCAATTTCCTCCACCTTGGTCGCCTGCTTAAATTGTACGCACGCATGCACACACACACACACACACACAAACACACATGAAAAAATGTGCATACACGCAGGTGATTACATAATGCATTATCTCTCTCTCTCTTACACACACACACACACACACACACACACACACACACACACTCATATACTAAACGTATATACAGTATAACCCTCTCAACTCTCTCTAATCATCACCATGACCTCATATGTTAGTTGGGGACGAAGCTACAACACCATCCTCACCACCGTCTCCTGCTACCACCTGAGGTCCGTCGTCCACGAATTGCTGTTTGACACTACAACCGCGTCCAGCCCATACTACTACACACTGGTCGTTATAAGGACAGTCACATTTCAACCGATGTAAAAAAATAAAATAAAATAAAAATTCAACAAATCGCAAATAACCGTGTGTTTATGCTGTCAATGTCACTTTTGTAAAATAACTGTGCTGAAATTCCTTATTAAATAAACCTCTCCCATATCATTATAATTATTTCAAAACATGTGCCACTTAGGTCATTTGTATAGTGTCAGCTTACTGTATGGCTGCTGTACTTGTCAATATTATTATTATTATTATTATTATTATTATTATTATTATTATTATTATTATTATTACAATTATTATTATTTTTAACTTTTATTATTATTGCTATTACTATTACATGATCAGTAAATACGCCCGAGACATCGTAAAAGCACATCAACCAAGTGCTGCGAAAATCACCTGAAAACACGCGGTGGCCGGTGGAAACGTTTACCCACACGCATGAGTTATAACAACTGCGATTAAAAACGTTTAACATCAC